TATAGAAGACCCTAACCCTAAAGTTAATCGAAAAAATTATTAAATATGAGTTGCCTCCGCTTTAGACGTCCCCCATAATTAGGAATCTATTGAAAAATCATGATTTTTTTAAATTTTAAGCAGTAATTAGATAAATAAATAATTTTGGAAACACTTGAACAATCATGAACCCATTTATATCGCATTCTATATAATCACATCATGTAATACAACCCATATTATGCAGGTAGTACAAACTCTAACCATGTTCATTATATAGTCACAGAAATCTATAATCGCCAATCCCGTGATATGTTCAATTTTCTCATGATCTTTGATTAACCAATAAAGTCATATAACATAATGGTAAAAAAAATTATCAAATAATAACGGTATACTTATAAACTTCATATCGAAATTACATCAGTTATTTTATTTAAACAAAGAACAAAATATCAGGAATATTACATTTCTAGAGTGTCTAGATCTATTAATTTTTCAATATTTTCAGGTAAACGGCTATGAGACTTGTATTTTTTGACAGTCCACTCAGCAATTCTATCTTCTAAACCTTTATCGTAAGTGTCCATATACCTCCAGGACTTGCAGAAAAACTTGCAAATTTTTGTTACAGAAATATTGACAAGAGCTTTTGGAACTAATTGTAGTAACTCAGTATAATTATAAGTATATAGTTTTCTTGTTTCCCATTTTATATACCCCCAATACCTTTCTATAAAATTACACTTGCAATGAAATTTAGGATATCTTTCAAAAATATGCTCCTTATTAAGAATTGGTTCCTCCAAAATTGATTTTTGTTCACAAAAATCGGGTTGTTGAGATATTATCCTTCGTGCACAACAATTTAACCTTTCTGGATCATTTTCTTTTTTTTTACCGTTTTTACATAACAATCAAACATCTTCTGACAGCTATAAATTACACTTCTTAAGTATTTGCTTTATTCTTTTAGGCTCTCCTCGCAGTTTTTCTACTTTATAATCATCTGAAAATACCATCACTGTATAATTTTCTCCCATTTTCATTGATATACCAGCCATTATGAATTTTAGGTTGTGATCCTCTGGGGCCCAGGTTCATTCTTGTTGCCACCAATGCATTTTCCGCCATTGCATTATGATTCGTTGATTGGTCAAAACAAAAGACTTCAATACATCCAAGATGAAGCACCTCAAATATCGGAATTGCCTGCTGTATTAGCTGTTCTAACATGTGTTCTGATTTTCAGTAACTGTCTGCCTGTATGGAACGAAGAACAAGCGCTTCTTGGTATTTAATATGTGGATTCGCCTTCATCTGCTTATTAAATAGTTTTAATAATCTGTGACAAGGACAAAGAAAGGCTGAAACCATAATAGAACAACCCTCTCCCTTTGGATGTAAAATATCTTCATTTTTTCCAATCCAGATTCTCCTTTGGCTATCGTTTGCATAAAAATGATATTCGTCATGTGTTATCTATAGTATGTATTTATTATCATTATAATTAGAGATAAAGGGAGATATTATGATAAGGATAGATATTGTGGCATAATTATGATTATTACTTAATTTTGTAGCAATTAATTACTATATACATAGTTATTCTTACCTGTACTAATTCTTTTTCATCGGGTCCAAGCTCAGGTTCTATTATGATTTCTAACATATCTCCTTCAAAACTTTTCATGTGTTTCTTATAGATAAACATTCTATTAAGCCATTCTTTTCTATAAATCACCACGTCTGATCTCTCATGCCCATCATAATAAACCCCTTTTCTTTTTTCATCATATCTAAACCCCCACAAATGCATATAGGTCCAGCATGTTCTTTCAGAAATAGTATTTTTTTTTATTTGTTCTGCTATTTGAAGAAATACTGTCCTTTCAATATATGTCTTTAAGGCACCAGTAGAATGTAACTCGAGATTTTGATTATACAACCAAGCTTTACAATTATCAGAAAAATCTTTATTCTTAATTAGACTTTTTAATTTAGCATGCTTCCCTTGACGATCAATGAGAAGTTCGCCTGTTTTTACATAGATAAGTAAGAGAATTTATATCATTATATACGATTTATGAAATTATGAATTTGAAAATGCCCGAGTGTTATTTTAGATATTAAGAATATCTTATTATGTATAGTACAGTTAACTCAGAATATAACGAACTCTTTATAATGAACTCTGGATATGACGAATGCAAAAAGTGCTAGATTTTTAAGAAAACAGTAATTTCTATAATGACCTTTTTTCCTTCCAGAACCATTGGTTCGTTATAGAAGACATGGGCAGGAGTTATTTAAAAATTAAACAATTTTTAAAGAATCTATGTACCGGGTAATATAATCATTGATTTTGTTAGAAGTTTATTTTATTATGTACTTACCTATATAATGATTTCTCTACTTTCTAATGCGTTTTGCCATACTATCTTCTTTACCCCAAATGGTTTGTGCAAGATGAATGCTTGCATTCATCTTGCCTCGCCCATTCAGCAACAATTTTATGTATCTACTTATGCTTAAAAGGTGCAAATGATTATATATAGGTGCGTTAGTTTTTGAAGATTTTATAATTATACATTTTTGATTAATTTCATTTAAACGCAATTCTAATTTTTCCCTATTGGTAGGTAATATATTATACGTAATGGTTTGAGAGGATGTTTGTTCTGTAATTTCAAAAGACAGTTTTGATGAAGATAATCATGATACTAATGATAAAGTGTTGGCTAATAGCATAGCTAAAGGTGGTTGTAGCAATCGTAGTCGTTTTATGATATCGACAGCTGAAAACAAGTGCAACAAATCAGGTGATGTTTCAACATTTAATAATGTATTAGCTTTTTGCTTTTTTCTCCAAGCTATTGTTCTTGACATTCTGGTATATGACGGTCTCTTATTTCTTAATTCAACAATCTTCTTTTGCATTATAGTAGTCTTTTGCATAATCTTATCTTCCTGTAATAATTCATCTTGCGTTATTTCTACTTGGGGCATTTCTTCATCTATCATTTCCACTTGTATCATTTCTTGCAATGTATAACGACCTTGTTTTCTAGGCAGTATACTTATCTGCTGTTTTCTTTTATTAGGATGTGGCATTTTATAACAACAGTATTAATAAAAAAACTTTAATGATAATTAATACTAACTTTTAATGAGCTATATTCAGGTCGCCAAGTCTCTTTTTATATTCTCGATTAATAGTTGAATTTTAAGCAGATAATAGAATATCCAGACTTATGCAGTTTCGGGGATTTTCCATTGTTTAACGGATGAAAAATCCCTGAAATTGCATAAGTCTGGACACTCTAATAGATCGTAAAGGAACAATTACGACAAAGGACAAAAACGAATAGATAGATGGCAATTTGAAGAGAGCGATTTGAATATTTTGTGCATTGTGAATTTCAGACAAAATCACACAATTGCACAAAATATTTTTTAATGTATATTTGTAAGAAAAATTTCAATTAAGGATTAATCCTATCATTAGCTGTGGCATTAGGGTTCACGACATTTATGTAGAGGGCATGCAGACAATGATATATTATCCATAATAAGACCAGGATAGGGCTTTAGCGACATAAAGGTGGTGATAATATCTGCGTTTGTTTTTTATATTCAGTTTAATGCAGCTAAACCAATTGTTAAAGATATATATAGGGTCTTTGCCTTAAAAATCAAGTCATGGGACATAGTAAATCATATGTTCCTTACTTGATTTTCAAGGCAAAGACCCCATATACTACTGCGCTATTGTTTCTATGATTAATTTAAGGCACTAGTATTTTGCAACAATGATATGTTAGCCATAATAAGACTAGAATAGAGCTCTGGCACCATAACAAAGGTAGTAATGACATCTTCATTTAGTTTTTTTATAGGATCTATATTCAGTTCAATATGGCTAAACCAAGATTTTATTAACATATGGATACTATATACCATGCTATTGTTTCTATTACGATTAATTTAAGAAATTAGTATTTTCATACTGTATTAAATAAACAATTATTACATAGGAAAAAGTTAATACTTTGTATTCACAAAATATTATTTTTAATAAAAACAATTTATCTATGTAATTAATTTGAATAAGATATAACAAATTTTTATCCACCTTTGAATACTAAACTTTGTGAACAGTTGACATTAAAAATAAAATAATAACATTTATTAAACACTCAATTAAATTTAAATTATACAACGATTTATTATATTTTAATGTTTGTTTAATAAAACCTAAAATCTGCCAATATTCATCTAAACATATGTAACTAGCAGCTAGTAAACTTTCAACATGAATTTCAATTACTAAAAAGATAGATGAAATAAAACAAAAAAACCACAACCAATATAGCCACATATAATATGGCATTCTTCAAGTAATTACGATGCGATACGGTAATAAAAAAATGCTCAAGTAATTACAATGTGATATGGTAATAAAAAAAATGGTTGAGAATACGATCATTAAATTCTCGACTATCAAACTAATGTTATATTAGCCAATCAAATGTTAATAAATACTCACATGATTTGTTTCAATTCCATAAACATATAAACTTCAAATCGCTAAGACTTTTGATATAAGCCGTATTTCAAAAAATTGACCGGTAACTTTGTTCTTTGCAATAAGCTCTACAAAGTTACCAGTCAGTTTTTTGAAATATGGCTTCTATAAAAAGTTTTATCGATTTAAAGATATCAAGTTTTCTGCCCACATGATTGGCGATTATAGATTTCCGTGACCATACAACATTACACAAATGTTATTAATGTGATTATATAAAATGTGATGTAAATGGGTTCACGATTCTTCAAACTACCATAATTAATCAGCTATAGCCGGCCATTTAGCCGCGGCTAGCTGGCTATAAGCGGCTAGCCAGTAAGGCCACGCAAAGTTGATTTTTTGTTTTGCATTACATGGATTTCAAAATTAGGGACGGACGGACGGATTTTTTTTTTTTTTTTTTTTTTGTATTTTTTTTTTTTAATTCAATTTACTGCAAATAGAATAATGATCACATTTAAGGTTATATTTTGCAAATAATGAATCAAAAAATTGGTCCGGCAGTCATATTTTTCCTGTCAGTCCTATCGGACAATTACGGAAAATTAAGGTCTCCATCGGGTGATACCAGATGAAAATAGCGGGAAAAAATAGATGTCAAAATCGAACAGTTGGCACAATTGGGATCTAAAAAAAAAAAAAAAAAATTGAAAAAATTGAAAATATGGGACAGCGGGTAATGCAAAACGAAAAATCAACTTTGTGTGGCCTAATAGCCAGTCGATAGCCAGCCGTAGCCAGCCATAGCCAGCTGTTCCTATCCCTAATCATTAGCTACTTCGGCCGCAGAGCTTGACTATTACCGTTTAACCTATTAAACCAAGTTTCCAAGTCATTGCAAAATAAGCGATAGTAATATAAAATCTATGTGCACAACGTTCTCATTTCACTTTTTAAAAAAATTTTTTGGGCTGAATAATGCACAAAAAATGCATAGTTCATATAGTTTCATTGAACATATGTTCAAATCTATCTATATAAATTTGATTAAATTATAAAATTATAGCGCATATTTTAAAATTGTTCACATAAATTATATGAGCATCATGCATATTTTTGAGATTTAATACACTGCCTTTACAATATTTTGGATTATTGATAATTTTCATTTCTTGAAAATAAATATTTAGGAAATCCTTCCTAAAAACAAAAAGACGTAAAATTGAATAAAAAGATTAAAAGAAAAAGAATTTAAAAGAAAAGGTGCTATCCGTCTAGTTGACGGGCAATACTATAAAATTTTACCTTATAGACATTCATGTGATTGATCAAATTTCATGAATTTATAAGAGATGTACCATATAAGATATAGATCAATAAGAGGCATGTAATATAAAGTTTTTTTTTTTACTTAGCGTCATAAATATCAACCGTAATACAATGTTATTGACTGAAATACGAAACTTCCTCTGTGATTTTAGATTTTCAGTATTTCATCAAGAAGAATAATCTCATGAACCCTTTTATCTATAACAATATAGACACTATAGATTTGCCAGAGGTTCCGATAAGCTGGTTTTAAAGTTGAAAGTAGTAAAAATTTTTCCGGGTATGAACGATACTTTATACAGGGTATGACTTACATAATGTAAAATAATTGACATTTATTTCTTTGACTATTTAATATACATTTAGAAAGTGTTTTTAATTTCATCAAATGTCAAAATATATAAAATCCGATCTATAGTGTAAATGAGTAATATAGAAGTAAATAATAATATAGGCAGTCTATAATATTTTTCTGCAACCAAAAAAAGACTTAGAAACATGACATTTTGAAACATCATGGCGAAAATATTAAAAAAATTTCGCCTTGCCGTCTGCTGTAATTTATACATAACTTAGACACCCATATATATGATGAAATTGAATGTGAAAGATCAAGCTTGCACTCACGCCCTTATACTGTACAATGCAACATAACAATTGCAAGATTTTGTGGGACGACACCATTGAATTGTCATATACCCCTACACATAGTGATATTCATCACTCCATTCCTGACAAACCTGGATTAATTTTTTATTGTCAACGTGGATACAATACAAAACTTACACCTAACGGAAGGATCGTCGTACACTCTGCAGAAGACACCTGCCGGGTGCTCTAGAAAAACACCATAGCTAGACTTAGGAGAAGAA